AAAAATATTTTTAAAACGTACACCGTTCAAACTAGGCTGCTTATGTTGAAGTGTTTGGGATGTGGCTTTTAATGATGAGACCTTTTTTGTAATCAGGCTCTCAAAAAGTATATAACAATTTGGATATAGATTTATCGGCCAACATATCGGTTATCGGCTTTCAAAAATAAAGAGTAATCGGTATCGGGCAAAATTTTCATATCGGTGCATCCCTACTATTCATATATATCTCCATACACACACACACGTTAACTGCATCGCAATAGCACTCTTGCACCATTTCATTGAGAAACTTTATTTCACCACTTACTTTTTCCTCTTTCACATCCTTATCCTCTTCTTTCTCCTTCATCTTTTGTTGTCTTGGTCCTTTCTCCGATGCCAGTCGGTCCTGAGAGACAGGTCACATGATCTCATTTACAGCTCAGGTTACGTAATGTGGCGACAGCAGATCGACAGAAATAAACATTGATTTCACCATTATCAAATGCACAGAAAGCAAACAGTAGCATCCTTTTGGTCTCATCCTTTTATCATTCGTTTAACTTCCTCATTGTAGCGACAGCATGGGAGTAATTAGATTTGGCAACAGTTGTGTGTGTAACGGGGGCGTTTAGTGTTTTCCTCAATGCTGTGGTTCGTTACGACAGAGATTGCACATGCTCTATTTCACCCAACACACTACACATGATCTTGGACAGGCACTACTGCTACAATGTCATCAATAAGGGGGGTTATTTTACATGATAACAGGCAGGTGTTGGAGTACCTTGCGTCTTTGGAGGGAGTTGCGCTTAAGCGTGTTGAGGAAGAAGGCGGCCGAGCGGGTTCTGGACAGCGAGAGGGTCTTGTTGTTGAGCGAGAGGCTGTTGGAGCACTCTGAGGAAGACAAGAGGAGTGAAAGTAGTGAGATACAAATAAATGGAAATAGATCTGAAGAAATTAGTCTTCCAGAAAGGTTTCCACGTGTATATCTGAAGATACATGTTGGCTCACGCAGCGCTAAAAGCAAAGTACAATTGTATAAATGACAAAATAACTTAATGTAACAAAGAAAGAAAATGTTATGTAAAAGGAAAAATGCTTAATTTTCAAACCAAAAATAATAAAAAAACAAAACATTACACATAACCGGTCCAAAAAACATGATCTATTATTTAAGCTTTTCATTTTGCAGCAAAACCTTATTAAATGAAAACAAAAACAAATAAAAATAATAATAAACGCTAATAAAAACAAAATGCTAAAAGCACTGTATTTTATGTTGTTCAAAGTAATATATATATATATATATATGAAATAAAAAACAAACAAATAAAAAATATAAAAATACAAATAAATAAATCTAATAAACGATAATAAAATAAAAATCTTAAAAGTACTGATTTTGTTGTTCAACAACTCAAAGCAATAACATAATATAAATAGTTAATAAATATCTAAATACATTTAAAATAAAAACAAAAAAAGTAGTTCAAATTTTTTTTAATTAACAATTTTAAAACAAAATAAAAATAAATAATTACATTTAAAATAAATGTAGTACAAACATTGTGAATTAAACGTAAATTAAAAATACTTAAAATGTATTCAAATCCTGAACATTATAACGACCAAAGAATAACTGAACAAGAAAAGCGTCATTTGTAATCTCTTTCATAATCCAGAACAACCTTACAAAAACTGTGCATTTTAGATGCAATTCACTAGATCGCTTCAGCAATACATAGCAACAAATAACAAAATATAATAAAACAACTTCCTACCCTTGGAACTGGAACAAATACACATTCAGTCACACTTCACATTCAATATGTGGTTTGCAGTGTTGTGTTAGAGATGATCTGTATTGGATCCCACCCCCTTCCCCAGAATTCACACATCCACAGCCTGCGTGAGTGACAGCTCAACCTGGAGCACATCTGTGTGAGATCCCCTCCCAAACACAGCATTCAACAACTAAACGCTCAATCCCGCTGCCTAAAGCCCCTCTAGCGGCTGTGGTTCCTCCTCTGCAGATGCCGTTTTGTAATCCGTCTCATAGAGTGGTGCGTGTCGAGGCCGGACTGAGATCCATTCCCACCGATTCGCCCATAAGCAGCTGATTTCTCCCCGGCTGAGTGCATTTGCTGCTGCAGCCGCTGCTGTCAGACTACAGACTACAGCAGAATACTGCCCATTCACAGCAGTGCATGCTGGGAAGGGGTCTTAAAGAGACAGCAGCACTGATAGCAATTATATGAGCTATTCATCAACTTGTTTCTCTTAGATACTCTAAAAAATGACCTTTATTTACACTTGAATTTTCATACAGATCATGCATTGAAACCATGTTGAAAATTCACAGTTGAGAAATCGTGACAATATTGGTCACAACCATTAGCATGTTAACATACACTACTGTTCATAAGTCTGGGGTCAGTAAGATTTTTTTATGTTTTATTAAGAAATTTATATTTTTATTCAGCAACGATGCATTAAATTGATCAAAAGTGACAGTAAAGCTATTCATGTTACAAAAGATTTCCATTTCAAATAAATGCAGTTCTTTTGAACTTTCCATTCATCAAAAAATAGGTATCACAGTTTTTACAAAAATATGAAGCAGTACAACTGTTTTCAACATTGATAATAATTAAAAATGATTCCTGAGCAGCAAATCAGCATATTAGAATGATTTCGGAAGGATCATGTGACACTGAAGACTGGAGTAATGATGCTGAAAATTCAGCTTTGCATCACAGGAATAAATTAGATTTTAAAATATATTGAAATAGAAAACACTATTAATTAAATAGTGATAATAAAATAGTGATTTTAAATTAAAATTGTAATAATATTTCACTTTATTACTGTTTTTACTGTATTTTTGATCAAATAAATAAATCTTACCAACACCAACAGTAGTGAACAGCAGTGTACTACCACCCATATTTACACATACATTACCCCTTCAAAAGGTACTAATATGTATGATTTAGGGGTAAATAAGAGTACAAAGATGTACATTTTGGCTTTTGTACTGCCCTAGTGACAGATTGCGCCATTTTTTTCTGAGAGTGTAAATAAAGGCAACAACTAGTATATATTTCAGACATCATTAAATATGCATTTCAAAGTTATGAATGCCTCCAGAAATGGCCCCTCATTACCTGCTGGGGTCTCTTTCTCAGTGAGAGCGTTGCGTATCTGTGTGAGGTAGACGACCATAGAGAGCTGGTCAATTTTCCCACAGGTGGTCATTTCACTGGCACGCATGACGGGAGTAATGCCAAACTCTCTCTCCATGAGGTCAAAGGCCAACTTATTGGTCCCAGTGATTTTACAACACTCACCTTCAATGTTTTTCAGCTTGCGATCTCTGGAATTCTGGTTCAATCACATTTATACACATGAAGGTAGGACCATGCTTTCTGCACTTAACGTCCAGCAGTAGTGAACAGCAGTGTACTACCACCCATATTTACACATACATTACCCCTTCAAAAGGTACTAATATGTATGATTTAGGGGTAAATAAGAGTACAAAGACGTACATTTTGGCTTTTGTACTGCCCTAGTGACAGATTGCGCAATTTTTTTCTGAGAGTGTAAATAAAGGCAACAACTAGTATATATTTCAGACATCATTAAATATGCATTTCAAAGTTATGAATGCCTCCAGAAATGGCCCCTCATTACCTGCTGGGGTCTCTTTCTCAGTGAGAGCGTTGCGTATCTGTGTGAGGTAGACGACCATAGAGAGCTGGTCAATTTTCCCACAGGTGGTCATTTCACTGGCACGCATGACGGGAGTAATGCCAAACTCTCTCTCCATGAGGTCAAAGGCCAACTTATTGGTCCCAGTGATATTATATTCATCTAGACTAGACAAGTCACTGAAAGAGAGGATAGCATACATTTAACTATGCAAATAATATGCATTATAAATGTATTTACAGTGTAGTCTATCTATCTATCCATCCATCTATATCTATCCATCCATCCATCTATATCCATCCATCCAGCCATCCATATCTATCTATATCTATCCCTCTAGCCTTCTATATCCATCCATCCATCCATCCATCCATCCATCTATCATCTCGCTGAAATCATCATTTGATAAAAAAACAGTAAAAACAGTAATATTGTAAAATCTTATTACAAATCGAAATGTTTTCTATTTGAATATATTTTACATTTATTCCTGTGATGGTAAATCTGAATTTTCAGCATCATTACTCCAGTAATGAAAACTAAGGAAGCCCATAACCGCCACTGAATACAATTTTTTAAAAAGGCGACTTTTATCTCACAATTATGACTTTTTTCCCTCGTAACTGCGAATTTACATCACACAATTCTGACTTTATATCATGCAACTGCAAATGTACATCTTGCAATTTTGAGAAAAACTGTCAGAATTGTGAGATAAAAAGTTACAATTACCTTTTTTTATTTTTATTCAGTTGTGGAAACAAGCTTCCATTCAAGGATCAGGATTCGATTAACAGATTTTTTAAAAAATATAAATATTTTATAACATCATAATTGTCTTTACTGTGACTTTTGATCAATTTAATACATCCTTGAATAAAAGTATTAATTTCTATGAAAACAATCTTATTGTCCTCCAACTTTTGAGCTGTAGTGTATCTAGCAAGAACTTTTCACAACAAAACTGAGCTCTGCATGTTTAAGAGTTACTAATATTCGTGTTCGCTGTTGGTTAAGGTGATCTTACATGAGTTCAGGTCTGAAGTTGTGGATGAGAGCGCAGAGAGCCATGCCGGACCTCCAGGACTCACTCAGGTCTTTCACCTTCACATGTTTGTACCCCGCTGTGCTCTTCTGACACCAGGACAGCAGATCCTCCAGACGCCTGAGAGATTCTAAACACAAATTCAGTTCATCATTTCACTGTAAACTCTGTGTTTCTCTGCATTTTCATACTATATAGACCAGTAGACTCATTTGCATGTAACAATAACAGGCTCTTTAAAAGGCCATGAAACACAAACACATTTTTGAGATGTTAACAGCTAGATAATGTTAATATATTAACATACATTAACAAATGTTGCATATTATTGTAAACAACCACACTTTTTAATTGTTGAAGGCGTTTTTTGCTCTTTTTCAACAAACTTATGGTTAAACAAACAAACAAATTAAAATGCTAAACACATTCAGTGTTTTAGAAGTTAAAGTGATACCTTATATATATATATATATATATATATGTATACTATATAGACCAGTAGACTCATTTGCATGTAACAATAACAGGCTCTTTAAAAGGCCATGAAACACAAACACATTTTTGAGATGTTAACAGCTAGATAATGTTAATATATTAACATACATTAACAAATGTTGCATATTATTGTAAACAACCACACTTTTTAATTGTTGAAGGCGTTTTTTGCTCTTTTTCAACAAACTTATGGCTTATGGTTAAACAAAATTAAAATGCTAAACACATTCAGTGTTTTAGAAGTTAAAGTGATACCTTATATATATATATATATATATATATATATATATATGTGATACCATATTATATAGATACATAGATACAGTAACTGTTGTATGGCATTTACCTTTTTTAGGTTTAATTATTATGATGGGTTTCATCTGTTTCTTGGCTTTACAATCCTCTGTGTCATACAGACGCTTGACCTTTAAATTGAACACAAACAGTCTTAAATAAAAGTCCTCTATGATGATAAAAAAAACACTTCCATTGCTAGTTACATCAGGCAGCTTTTGCATGTGTGTGTGTGTAAGTGTGCATCTAGGACTTTGTGTTTGACCTGTGTGGGTTTGATACAGGACAGGCTGACGTTCGGGTAACGTGTGGATGGATCGATGCTGTAGGATGCGTAGTTCTTGCTGGTGTTTTCTGGAGTCGTTTGAGAGAGTAACTGATACATGCTCTCCCTGTAAAAGATATACACAGCATAACGCACTGCTGCATCATGTATGCATTTTATATTGTTTTATATCGATACATACAGTTCGTAAGTTCAGTGTAGCTAAGATTTTAATGTTTTTTAAAATAAGTACTTTGCTTACCAAGGCTGCATTTATTACTAAAAATACAGTAAAAACATTAATAAATGTAAAATATTATTACAAACTATGATGATAAAAAAAACACTTCCATTGCTAGTTACATCAGGCAGCTTTTGCATGTGTGTGTGTGTGTAAGTGTGCGTCTAGGACTTTGTGTTTGACCTGTGTGGGTTTGATACAGGACAGGCTGACGTTCGGGTAACGTGTGGATGGATCGATGCTGTAGGATGCGTAGTTCTTGCTGGTGTTTTCTGGAGTCGTTTGAGAGAGTAACTGATACATGCTCTCCCTGTAAAAGATATACACAGCATAACGCACTGCTGCATCATGTATGCATTTTATATTGTTTTATATCGATACATACAGTTCGTAAGTTCAGTGTAGCTAAGATTTTAATGTTTTTTAAAATAAGTACTTTGCTTACCAAGGCTGCATTTATTACTAAAAATACAGTAAAAACATTAATAAATGTAAAATATTATTACAAATTAAAATACATTTTTCAAATTTATTTCTGTGATGCAAAGCTGAATTTTTAGCATCATTACTCCAGTCTTCAGTGTCACATGATCCTTCCGAAATCATTCTAATATGCTGATTTGCTGCCCAAGAAACATTTCTGATTATTATCAATGCTGAAAACATTTGTGCTGCTTCATATGTGTGGAAACCGTAATGCCTTTTTTTCAGGATAATTTGATAAATAGAAAAGATGGAGAAAAAAAAAAAAACAGCATTTATTTGAAATAGAATTTGTTTGTGTTATAAACAGTGTGAAAATGGTAAACTGTACCTCTCCGCCAACAACTCCAGGGGTAGCACACCTTTTCCCCAATTCCTGACCATCCACGCCGTGTCAAACGCAGCCAGGAAACCTCGAGCAATGCCAGTGCCCAGAGGCCAAAACGGCTGCAGAAAAATAAAATAAAATAAAAATGAAACCAACAAATAAATAAAAATATGGCCGATTTCTATTTATTTTTGATGGCCAATTCACTGTTTCCCCGTTGTACTGTTTAAACAGTGTTTACAATAAAATTCTAATTTGATATAGAATGATCACACATTACAATGTACAAAAAAAGACACTGTAGTACTTTTGAAAGCTCAGATTGAAAAATAAGTCCTGATAGTATTTACCTACATTATCAGTCTAATCGGCTGCCCCGTTTATTCGTACACTATACTCATAACCCACCTCTACTAGAGAGTCTCCCACCAACGCGACGAGCAGTCTCTTCCCCTTCCTCTCCTTCACAAGAGAGGCATTCTCTGCCCTGTGCATGCAGGTGAAGTCAAACACGGCCACGTCCGGACGGCCCACGTGGTTCTTGGCGAACTCCAGGTCCGGCAGCATGTGATCTGTGGAGAAGTTAGCGGCGTCGTATGCGTACTCCTGCAGGGCCTCCTGGTTGACGTTTGCTGGTGCGAGCAGCTGATTGACATCAGGAAAGTCCTGAGAACAAGAAACAAGAATGGCTTAATGTTAATCCTGTGACACTGAAGACTGGAGTAATGATGCTGAAAATTCAGCTTTGATCACAGGAATAAATGACATTTTACAATAAATTCAAATAGAAAACAGCTACTTTAACTTGTAATAATATTTCACAATATTACTGTTGTTATTTATTCCTTTTGTACTCCACCTGAACTAAATATACAGGTTGCATTTCTAAGCGAATGCAAATAGCAACTGTCTGCAGCTATTCCAGTGAGAATACAGTGACAAAAGAGGACAAGCATAGCTGTGAAGATTGATAAATGCGTTTGTAAGTGTAAATGCGAGCTGGAAACACGCCTGAAGTATCACCTCTGCTGATAAAAGCATGGCCTCTTTTCCAAGCATTTCTAGGCTCTGTTCAGCCTTTATATAAGATATTCTCAAAGCCTCAGCTCTTTGAACATGTTTCACTGTGTTGTACCTGCTTTATCACTCCTTTTTTTAATAAGCTCCCCTTTTTAGCAGTCATCACAAAATAGTGAGTATCATCTTTGTAGTAGACAATATTCTCTAGATCAACGCCTGGAAAACATAACAAATGACAGGGCAGAGATGAAGATGTGTGTAGGTTTACTTAGAACTATATTTTGGAGACAGCTAAATTGAACAAGAAGGAAAAAATGATTTATTTTTGAATGAAAACAGTTGATGGTATATTCTCAGTGAGATGAAGTAACTGTGAGTCTGTACCGATCTCAGAGTGGAGCTCTTGGAAGAATTTCTGGTTGTATATTCGTGCCACACCGCTGATCTCCTGCACCTGAGCCTCTTGTTTAGTGCGGCGGTTTACGAAGTTTGCAGTGATACCGATGGCCAACTTTCCCCTGAGCTCCTTTATCTTAAAACCTGAAGACACACGGGGAACAACAACAGTGGGAAAGGGTCAATAAAATAAAAACGTAAAAAATAAATAAATAAAATATTTAAATGCATTTAATTTAATAATAAAATAAAAGATTATCCAAGTCACTTTGTGCTAAATAAAAGTATTTAGTACAAAGTGACTTGGATAAGGAGTGTTTTTAGAACAAAAAACTATTTTTATTTAAAAAAAAAAAATTTTTTTTGTTCTACAAAATAAAATAATTTATTGTATAAACTCACCTTATAAATAAATAAATAAATAAATAGTACAAAGTGGCTTGGATAAGGAGGGTTTTTACAACATAAAAAATTTATAATTTTAAAGATAAAATTCAATTTCATAATAAAATTAAATATTTAAAGCTTTTAGTACAAAGTGACAAAGTAAATTTCATGGAATCCGCTCATCTGTGTAAATTTTTTATTTACCATCAGGCACATATCTTCCTCCTCCAGCTGAAATAAAAACATCAAACTCAAAAGCAGCAGCTGTGTGGGACCCAGGAGACACCTGTGCCCTCCATCCTGAGAGAAAGAATGAGAGAAAGAGAAAGAGATGAGACCAAAAGTTAAAAAACAAATGTCATTTTTCAACTACACGACCACAGATCTTTTCACTTTCTGTGACAACAACTAAAGCTGGTTTGTACCTGTGGATCCTGCTGGTTCAAGCAGACCTTCAAAGGTCACACCTGTGTGCACCTCGACCCCCAAAATCAGAGCCAGTTTCAGCAGAATCAACTGCAGCTGACGGATACCTAGAGAAACACAGATCTCATTACTACAGTACACCTCAATTAAAGTTATGCACATTTTCAGCAATAAGAAAAGAAGTTTCACTTTAACTATGATTTGTCTATATTTACCAACTCAATACACATTCCTGGTCCTATTGTACACCATTCATTAGTGCACACTATTCTAAACAAATGTTGTTTTCATAATCTTTCATCCAAATGTACAAACTTGCTCTGCCTTTAAATCTGATATCCCGTAGGCCAGAAAATATATTAACCAACAATATCATAGTTGAACATTTCACAATCCAATCAAATCTGGATACATTTAAGTCCTGCTACACATTGTTTTGTGTGTTGAATGACATTTCACTCAGAAATACTCTCAAATATTAAAAAGTTAGAGGTCAGAAAGATTTTTTTCAACAAGGAACGATAAAATTGATCAAAAATGACAGTAAAGACATTTATAATGTTAAAAAAGATTTTTCTTTAAACTTTAAAACATTTTTTATCAAAGAATCCTGGGATTAATCCCAGGAATAAATACAATTTTACTAAATATTCAAATTGAAAACAGTTATTTGAAATTGTAATAATATTTCACAATCTTTCTGTTTTGACAGTATTTTTTAACAAATAAATGCAGCCTTGGTGAGCATAAGACACTTTCAAAAACACCTTTTATTTCTCAGATCCTCAGGTCTTTGAATGCATTTTGGAAGCAAAATTGGGTTGTGAATGTCATTCATGTTGACTGTAATTAATTTGGTAACAAAAAAAACAAAAAACAGCAAAACATATAGATGCTCACTTATGTGATGAATGGATCCACTGCAGAATCTGCCATAGAATTTCTTTGCACCAAGGTTGAGAAGGTCTCGAATGGTGTACGGCCACAGGTGCAGGACATTATTCCTCATGAAAGACACTCTTTTGTCCAGTACAACTACCTGAGTGCCTAGTAGAGCCAATTCAATCGCTGTCCTGAGACCACATGGACCCGCACCCAACACTAAACACTAACACAGAGAAAGAGAGAGATTGCATTCAGTACATACAGACTGGTTACATTTCCCAGCGTTAAACAACTTTATAGATAGAAATCTCATTTATCAGGTAATTTATGGTACCTTGTTTTGGTGACATGCCTGACCCTGTTCATAGTCCGGATGGGCGGCTCTCTTGTCGATCTTCTGCCAGAGGTCTTTGGCTTTCCAGTAGTTGAGTCTGTCCTTCAGTTTGCTGTAGAAGTGCTTGTAGTCCCTGGGCTCGACCTTCAGATGGCGACAGAGTTCGATGAAGTTCTGCTGTGTCTCTTTACACGTCTGCGCCTGGACAAAGCGGTCAAACAGAGCGTGGCTGGGATTGACAGAGTCTGGCTCGTTGGCCATTGTGACGGGAGAGGCCTGGAGCCTGCTAGATGAGCTGCAGAGACAAGAGAGAGAGTTTACCGAGGAATTTCAAACAAAAAGAGGGTTTCACTTAGGCATGGGCCGATTACCGGTTTCAAGGCATACCGCGATTTGGAAATTTCACGGTTTCAAAACCACTAATATTTTCTATTATACCGTTCCTGCGGTATGCACTGATTTTCATGTCTCCTCAAAGACTGAAAGTGCAGGAATCCCTCAGGTTGAGTGCAGTGTAGAGTTTAACACGACCCTCCTCCTGTTGGTGCGAGCGAGCGGTCAGTCATGTGTGTGTAGGATGGCCGAACTTAAGGAGCTTCCCCTGGAACTTACGCGATCGGCAATCAGACATTTTTTGTCTTATTACAGCTCGTCTCTGTTCTGGACTTGCACAAACTGCATTGCAATGCAATCATTTTCCAAAATGTAATTTATGTGAAAATATGAAGTCTGTGAATGCATGTTAACACAGGCCAGAGCCGTTGAAGACAGACGCACAGAGAAAAATACTGTAGCAGGCAGATCACTCACTGTTCATGATGCACGAACTATTGGAAGAAAATCCTCAATATTGATTTGGGGGTTTATATGAATGTGTTTCTGAGGGGAACTGACTGTCTTCAGAAAAGTTTACATGGTATTTTCTTTTCATCTCGTCTCTGTATAGTTCATATTAAAGGAACACTCCACTATTTTTGAAAATAGGCTCATTTTTCAACTCCCCTAGAGTTAAACAATTGAGTTTTACCGTTTTCGAATCCATTCAGCCGATCTCCGGGTCTGGCGGTAGCACTTTTAGCTGTAGCTTAGCATAGATCATT